CCAATAGCCTTAACTTTTAAATCAGTAGTTGACCAGATCAAATTTCTATTCAGAAAAGGTCTGGCTATAGGACAACAGTGGGTCAGAGAGGGGCAGGAGCCAATGAGTGAAAAAGCTGTTGTAATCTTCTGGTTGAGAGTTAAGGGTGGCTTGGTTTGGAGTGGAGCAGTGGAGATGGGAAGAAGTGGACAGATCTGAGAAAGGGGCCTAGGGAGTAGAGGTTAGGGGTGAGGGAGAGGAGCAGATATGAAACCTCATAGGAAAAGCATTGTATATGGAGGTGGAGGACAATGGCCCCAAAGTGCTGGGATGTTGTGTGGGTGGGATGGGGTCAGGCTACAAGAATGGGCCATGAGGGAGCCCAGTGGTGGCCAGGACTGTGGCCACGGTGGGGAACAGCCTGGAGACCTATGTTTGCAGCAGCACAGACAGCACTCTGTTCCTTGTTGCTCCTTGTGACTTGAGTCTCTTCTGAGTGTTAGGGAAGGTTTTCTGGGGGCGTCTGACCTGAGTTTTAAAGAATGAATAGGATGAGCTTAGAGGGAGTTTGGAGGACGGAAGCTTTTCCAGGTAGTGGGAACAGAATGTGAGAAATAGTCTTGCTCAAGCAATTCAGAATTTCTGAAGAAAGGACAGGATAGAAAAGCAAAAGGTGGGGCTGGAGAGGAGGTGAGGGCCAGACAAGAGGAGGGCCACAGGGAGAGGCATGGAAATTTTTGGATTTCAGAACAAGCACTTGGGCAGCTGCATGAGCTAGTGGGAGCAAGAAGAGAGGCCAAAGGGATATTTAGGAGTTTGAAGGAATTCTTAACCCACATGTGAACAAAACCAGGCCCTGAACTGAGCCAGTGGTGCAGTGATGGAGCAGAGGGAAGGGATTAGAGAGAGACTTGGGGAGCAAAGGAGCCAGTGAGGTTAAGGAGGACCCCAGATTCTAGCTTCTGGTTTGGTGATGCCACCAGCTGAGACAGAGAACAGAGGTGTGGAAGCAGATTGAGGAGGTAAGATGACAAGTCCAGCCTGTAGCTCGTTTAATCCCAGGGCCGTCAGGGTGGACATTCCTAGTGGACAACTAGGGAAAAATATGTCTGAAGTTCAATAGAGGTCTGCATAGGACAGGTGAATTTGGAGTTATAGGCACGAAAAAGTAGTGGTCGGAATCTTGATAGTTTTCACCTGAAAAACTGAGACTCCCTTCTAGGAAGTAAACTTGGTGAGAAGAATGGTGGACCTGGGACTAAGCCCCAGGCTGGTCATCTATGTATTGCCTCTTGGCTCCAAGTCCACCCTCTCTAGACTCTGCTCTTTGAGATGATGCAAACTGCCTCCCATTAATTCTGGGTGTGTCTGTGAGGGTGTTTCCAGAAAAATATTAGCATTGTGTCGGGAGGCTCAGTAAAGAAAATAGGCTCTCGGGGCGGCACCTGTGGCTCAAGGAGTAGTGTGCCGGCCCCATATGCCAGAAGTGGTGGGTTCGAACCCAGCCCTGGCCAAAAAAAAAAAAAAAAAAAAAGAAAATAGGCTCTCACCAGTGTCGACAGGCGTTGTTCAATCCATTGAGCAAATTGGAGAGGAAGGGCAAATTTGTTCCCAACTTGAGTTGGGACATCCATCTTCTCCTGCTCTTGGATGTCCATCCTCTGTTCTCATTGGAGTCTGTGAACCTTGGGCCTTCAGACTCTGAGACTTACACCAGCTCCCCATGCCTCACTGTCCCTGCTTCTCAGGACTTTGGCCTCAGACTGAATTAATATCACTGATTTTCCTGGCTCCCTATCTTGCAGGAGGCACATTATAGGAGTTCTCTGCCTCCACAACCTTATGAAACAGTAAGTCTCATTGTATGCATGTACTATGTCTGTCCTATTAGTTCTGCTTCTCTGGGGAATCTTGACTAGCACAAGGTCCAAGGTCCAGCTATGCAATAATGGGGAAGATGTCTCTGAGAGCTTCTAGTTACTTCTTGGAGGTGGGAGTGAATGTCATCTCTTTGTTTCCCAGACTCAAGGATAGGAGTGGATTCCTGCTGCTATTTGTCTGGGCTACCTTAACATTCACTTGTACAGTTTTTCAGCTTTCCAATGTCTATAACTAATTCCCTGTACTGAATACCCTCTCTTTACCAGAAAAACAGCAATTCTGTTTTTCTGATTGAACCTTGACTGACTCAGACTCCCAGGGCAGGCAGAGGAAGCGCCTACAAAGGAGATGGAAGGGTAAGAAGCGTACTCAGAGAAGTGGGTGAGAACGAAGACTGTGTGTTTTGGAGAGAGTGTAACAGCTGTTACAGGAAGGAGGAAATAATGAGCCTTTAAAAAAGGGAACAGACCATGTCATCCAACAATACCGCTTTCGGATGTATAGCCAAAAGAATCAAAAGCAGAGTCCTGAAGAAATATTGGTACACCCAACGTTTATCACTCCATTATTCAAAATAGCTAACAGGTTGAAGCAACTCACATGTCATCAGCAGATGAATGAATGAACAAAATATGGCCAAGTCCCTCCAATGGGATATTAGCCTTAAAAAGGAAGGAATGGTGCCCATCTTATATCAGCCAGGGACAAAGCCACCCCTTGTTTATCCTGGGTTGGCTTTTGGTCTGTGCCCATGCCTTGTTCGTGACTTGGACACATGGAGAAAGTTAAAAAAGAATAAGAAAAAAAAAAAAAAAGGAAGGAAAGTCTAATGCACGCCTCCATGTGAATGAAATGTGAGGATATTATGCTGAGTGAAACAAGCCAGATACAAAAAGACAAGCGCTGTATGATTCCACTCACATGGGGTGTCTAGACTAGTCAAGTTCATAGAGACAGAAAGTAGAATGGTGGTTGGCGGGGGCTGGGGCAAGGAGAGTTGTTGAATGGGTACAGAGTTTCAATTCGGGAAGATGCTTGCACAACAATGCGAATATGTTTAACACTACTGTACTGTACCCTTAAAAAATGGTTCAGACATCAATTTTAGGTTATGTGTATTTCAACAGAACTAAAAATATAAAAATAAAAGGAGTAGAGAGGTCCAGAAAGATATAAAATTAAGTGTGTCAATTAGGAGGGCATTTGTGATCTTGGGGGATAATTTGAAAAGCTCATTACAAGTAAAACTTCTCAAAAAGACTGCAGCAGGCTGAGAAACAGGTGTGAGGTGAAGAAGTCGAGGCTGACTCTTTTGAGGAGTTTGGAGAAGCAGGAGGAGAAGGTGGAGCACATTGGGAAGCTAAAAGAAAGGAGCCTGCAAGAGGAAGAGAAATGACACAGAGCAGTGTGGGGGAGCAGAGGCCAGAGGGCAGCAGCAAGGGTGGAGCCTGGCCTTGGGCAGGAGGGGTAGCTGCTTCTATGCTGCTGCAGGAAAAATGTGATGTTGTGCATTTGTATGTAGGAGGGTGATGGAGAGAGCTGGTGTGAAGATCTTGGGATTTCTCTAAGAAATAGGAGGCAATGAGAAAGATGTTTGGCAGAAGAATTGAGGGGTGCTCAGAGCTCAGCCCAGGATGGAGATCACGGATCTGTGAATGTTCTCTGCAACACAGAATGTTTTTTCTGGCAACCAAGTAAAGGTGAAGGTTGATTGCAACAGCAAGCCAGATTTGGGGTGTTGTTTGAGCTATGTTTTGAGGGCAGAATGTGGATAAAGAGCTAAGGTATCTAGAGTCATCTGCGGAGATGGGGAAACCTGGAGGAAGTAAGCAAAGATTGGGAGAAGGTAGAAAGATCAAGGGATTGACATTTCCAAAAAGTCAAAGGTATTTGTAATGGGAATGAGAGAACTGGAAACCTGGAAGCCTGGAGAGCTTTATAGTTTGGTTTGTTTGGACCCTTACCAGGTCTTCTGTTGAAATTTGATCTCTAGTGTTGTTAGTGAGACCTCAAGGGAGGTGTCTGAGTCATGAGGCTAGATTCCTCATGAATGGCTCAGTGCCCGCCCTCATGACAATGATTGATTTCTTGCTCTGTTAGTTTCTGCAAAACTTCCCCCAGAGCTGGTTGTTAAAAAGATTCTAGCCCCTTCCCCCTACCTCTAGTGCATTCTGTCTTTCTCTCTCTCTCCAAGGGACCTTTGCACACACCAGTTCCTCTTCAACTTCCACCATGCATGGAAGCAGCCTGAGACCCTCACCAGAGGCAGATCTGGCATCATGCTTCTTGTACAGCCTGCAAAACTATAAGCTAAATAAATCTCTTTTCTTTATAAATTACCTACCTTCAAGTACTCCTTTATAAGCCACACAAATGGACTGAGATAGAAAATGGGTCCGGAGGAGTGGGTTGTCTCAATAAGATTCCTAAAAATGTGGAAGCCGCTTTGGAACTGGGTAATGAACAGAGATTGGAAGAGTTTGGAGGGCGCAAAAGAAGACAGAAAGACGAGGGTAAGTTTGAATACCTTAGAGATTGGTTAACTGGTTGTGGCCAAAGTGCTGACAGACATGTAGAGAGTAAAGGCCATGCAAATGAGGTTGCAGATGGAAATAAGGGATTTATCTGGGAACCAGATCCATAAGCATCATCCTTGTTTGTGCCACAGCAAAGAACTTGGCTACATTGTGTCCATGCCCCAGGATTTGGTAGAAGACTGACCTGAAGAGTGATGACCTATGGTTTCTGGTGGAGGAAGTTTTTAAATAGCAAAGCATTTAAGAAGTGGCATGGCTGCTTTTAACAGCTTATGCTCAGATATAGGAGCAAAGGAGTGAGCTAAAGTTGGAATTGAGAAATAAAGAGGAAGCAGAGAATAAACATTTGGAAAATTTGAAGCCTGGCCATGTGGTAAAGAAAGGAAGAGCATTTCAGGGGAGGAATCCAAAGGTGTTTTTTACTTGCTAGAGAGATTAGTGTGGATATAAGGCAGCCAGGTGCTAATAACCAGGGCAATGGGACAAAAGCCCCAAAGGCATGTCAGAAGTCTATGGGGTAACCCTTGTCATCACAGGCCCAGAGGCATAGGAGGACTGAACGATTTTGGAGGCCCACTGGCCCATCCCACCATAGGATGCTTCTCCCTGCGTCCCTGAATCCTCAGCTAAAATGACCCCAGGTCCAGCTCTGGAGAGTGCAAGCAGTGAGTCTTGGCAGCTTCCACATGGTGTTAAGTCCGTTGGGGTGTGACATTCAGGAGCAGTGGGGGCTTGGCAACTTCCACCTGGATTTCAGAGGGTATATTAAAAAGCCTGGATGCCTGCACAGAAGCCTGCTACAGATCAGAGCCACGGCAGAGGGCTTCTGCCAGGGCAGTACCTAGTAGAGCTGTGGGATCAGGGCCACTGTCCAGACCCCAGAATTATACATCCACCAGCAGCTTGCAACTGCATCCTGGGAAAGCTACAGGCCTTTTACTCCAACCCATGGGCTATGCTCAGCAAAGCCATGGGCACAGGGCTGCACATGGCACTGGGAGCCTACCTTTCACACCAATGTGTCTAGGATGCAACACAGAGTCAAGAGAGATTATCTGGAGCTCTAAGTTTTGATATCTTCCCTGCTGGTTTTGGACCTGTGTGGGAGCCTTCTATCCTTTTCTTGTGGCCTATTCCTTTTTTTTTTTTTTTGGAGACAAAGTCTCTTACTTTGTCTTCCTTAGTAGAGTGCTATTGCATCATAACTCAGAGTAACCTCAAACTCTTGGGCTCAAGAGATTTTCTTACTTCAGCTTCCCAAGTAGCTGGGACTACTGGCACCCACCATAATGCTGGCTATTTTCTTTCGAGACGAGGTCTCGCTCTGGCTAAGGCTGATCTTGAACCTGGGAGCTCAGGCAATCCACTTGCCTCAGCCTCCCAAGTGCTAAAGTCCTGAGCCACCTCACCTGACTATTGTGGCCTAGTCTTCCTTCTTGAAATAGGAATGTTTACCCAATGCCATTTATACCATTGTTTCTTGGAAGTAAATAACTTGTTTTTAATTATACAGGTTCATGGCTAGGAGGAACTTGCCTTCAGTCTCAGATGAGATCAGGACTTTGGACTTTCAAGTTAATGCTGGAACAACTTAAGACTTTGGAGTCTGTTGGGATGGAGTAACTGTTCTGTGAAGTGAGGACATGAGATTTGAGGAGCTAGAAGGCTGTAGTTTGAATGTGGTTTGTTTGCCTCCACGAAGTCTCAAGTTGAAATTTGATCCCTAATGTTGGAGGTGGGGCCTAATGGGAGGTGTCTGGATCAGAGGGTTGATCCCTCATGAATGGCTTGCCGCCATCTTCAGGGTTCTCAACTCTGTTAGTTCTAGTGACAATTCCCCCTGAGAACTGGTTGTTAAAAAGGGCCTGGCACCTTCCCCTTCTCTCTAGCTCTCTGTCTCTCCCCATGTTATCACTGCACACATCTCCCCTTCCCTTTATGCCACCAGTTTTGATATCTTCCCTGCTGGGTTTCATCTGATGTCAACCTGTTTCTTCTACAGCCTTCAGAGCTGTGAGTCAAACCAACCTCTTCTTTATAAATTATCCAAACTTAGGTATTCCTAGATAGCAACACAGACGGGCTAAGAGAGTAATGGATGTAAAGGGAGGTATTAAGTGGAGCTTGCAATGGTGGGTGGGATCCAGTATGATCTAGGGCAGGGATCCTCAAACTTTTTAAACAGGGGCCAGTTCACTGTTTCTCAGACCTCTGGAGGGCCGGACTGCGGGCCCCAGGACAAGTCAGCTACTAAGCAGGACAGGCAACAGGGGCAAAAACACCTGGCGGGCCAGAAAAATGTAGGTGGGCTGCATGTGGCCCGTGGGCCATAGTTTGAGGACGCCTGATCTAGGGGGAGTAACGCAATGGAGGTCACGGCTTTCTTGTAAGTCAGGATAGAAAGCAAGATATGAGCCCGGTCAGACCAGGACACCTGCAACTGGGTGTCCCACCATAGCGCATATCCATACAGCCAAGCTCAAAGCCATATTTCCCCTCCACAGGCCACCCTTCCCAACTGTGCCATTCCTGTGTCATTTCTCTGAATCCATAATGTCATGAAAAGATCGTGGGACTTGGAGTGAGACACTTGGATTCAAATTCTGCCCTATTGCTTGCTAGCCACAGACCATGGCTATTCTCTCAACATGTCTTATAAGACTTATTTCTCTCTTCAGGGCCATTCTGAAGACCACAGTAGACAGACAGGTGAAAGTGCCTAAGTGTCTAATTGGAAACAGAACAAGTGCTCAACTGATATCAGTGTAATCTGAAAATGATTTTTCCTTCATCTCCTGCAATGAATTCATCACCATGACCAGCCTCCTGCTCTTTACATTGCCTTCCCAGCCCTCATTAATGGCCACACCTCCTAACTGGTAACATTCTGTCCTCCTCCTCTTCCAGGGCTTGTCTGTCTTACAAATGGCTGCCTAACTCACCTTTCAGAAAGAACACTTTTATCATATCAAGCTAGGTAGTGAAAAGCGGCCCTGCATTTTACATCTGGATAAAATGTTCATTTCTGCCATTTGAGGTTCTTCATCTTCCAGGAGTCTGGAGAGGTATGATACAGAGCCAATACTCGGGAGAAGCCAGTACAAATTACTAGAGCTTGATGGTCCAGAAGGGGACCTGGAATTAATCCTCCGTCAAGATGTGTACCCGGGGCATTATTATCAGGGGCCTAAAATATCTTATTCACCAGTAGATTGAACCTTACTGCCATCCCTGTATCTCAC